CGACAGGACGGGTGGGGTCGAGGGCGAGGGCGACGGTGATGGTGAGAAGATGGGCCAGGTTGAGGTTGACGGCTGGGGTGAGGGCGAGAGGACTAGCAGCTCTGGCGTTGGAAGCGGGCAACCTCCAACATGTTGTTTGAATTGCGCTGCAGACATCCATCGACCACAGGAGCAGAAGCAAAGTCGATCCATCTTTTTGTGGCAACAAAGAGAAAGAAACCAAAGGAAATCGCAAAGCTATTTCTTGTCGACTGATGACGAACCATTACTCAACTGGCGGAAGCCGCCTTAAATAATAAAATCGCACAACACGTCTGTTTTATATTTTATATTTTATTTATTTTGACATAAAAGATTAAAAAGAAAGGAACCGCACGACACGAGCCATGCACAAGATGAGGTATATGCTTCGGCTGGAGGAGGAGAATCAGACGCCTCGTCTCTTCGACGCCCTCTACCCTTTCCGGCAAAGCAACGCCGAGGGGGCGAGCAAAATCGATGCAAATCGGACACTTCTTCGGGAACAGCCTTCGCGCACCAAGTGGGTGCGCAATCGAAGGGAGCAGTTCGTGCAGCACCAGCATCTCCTCCGCCGGCTTGTCCGCGCCGCGCCCGCCGCCAATATTGGAGATGAAGATGTGGATGAAGATGGAGATGGAGATGAAGTTGACAATGACAGCGCGACGACTCGAACTCGCAAGCGAAAGAGGCGTGCAGCAGCTTCTTCCTCTTCGCCATCTTCTACTACTTCGACTTCTGCCACGACCAGCGGCCTGTGGGAGGAGGCGGCCCGATTGCTCCCCACACCCTTCGCCCTGGAGAAGGGCACTCTCCGCTCCTTGCGCGACCTCAACACGCGGGTGGGTCTCGAGGTGGTCCGCAACACGCAGCCGCCGCGCGGCGCCCACCAGCTCGCGCAGCACCTCGCCCACGCCTACCCCGTCCTGGTACCACCACTGCTCCTCCCCTACCCTTCAGGGCTTTGTCTGACGCTCTTTGTGGTGCGCGTGTGCGTGTGCGTGTGCGGTGGTGTGTGCGTGTGCGGTGGTGTGTGTGCGTGTGCGGTGGTGTGTGTGCGTGTGCGGTGTGTGTGTGTGGTGTGTAGATGGGTCCACTGGCATTGGAGAGGGCGTTCACGCTCGCCGGTCAGTCCCGATGGCGCGATGCATACGACTCCCTCGAAAAGTAATCTATTCACCCTACATTCTTCGCACTTGAGCGCGACACAGCATGCAGACGCGGCACGCAACACGATATCTAACGGCTTGTGCCGTGTGGTGGTTGGGCGTGGTGCGTGTGGTGGATGGTCAGCTTTCTGATCACGCCGGGCTTTCGATCGAATCCACTTTATGGGTCCTACTGCGGGATGTTCCTGTTCATCCTCTCCTCGGCCTCCCGTACCCACGGTGCGCATGCACGCACGCACGCACGCACGCACGCACGCAACCTTGCGACACTAACGCCACACACTAATGGTGTTCACACGCGACCACCAAACTTACTCCTTCACTTTTGGCGCAGAGGAGGAGTGGGAAGATGACGGCGATAATCGCAGCGAGGCGTACAAGCAGCTCCTGCAAGCCAGACAGCACCTCGAGACGGCGACGGCCCTGCACGACGGCCCCGCGCTCCTCCATTTCCTTGCC